TGGTTTTTTTTTGTTAAATTTTTTGTAAGAACTTTGTTCATAAAAAATTTATCGTAATAACCAGATATACAATGTTGTATAATGCTGACTAGATTCTTAGTTCAGTTTTATAATTTTCACATTAATTAAATATTTTACCATAGCATTGTTCGTACTTACTTAAATACTTAACTATTTGTTGAAAGAAACAAACAGTACCGCTCAATCTCGTACGTAAGAGATTTTTTTTAAAATAAAATGATTTATTCGATAAACTCGATAAACTTGCCAACATATGCCCATATCCAATTTTACATAAGGAATGCATTGTGTACATACATAATAGATAGGTCAAACGAATTTGGTGCATATCAAGTAAACATTAAAAAAAAGAGGAAAACAATAAATTATTTGATGAAAAAACATCAACCAAGTTTGTTATCTATTTAATTATTCTGATCGCATCCTTTGTCCTGTTTCGGAACAATATCATTTTTTTAAAGATCAAATAATAACATTGTATAGATCCTTAGATCATGCTGTCACTTATGCACTCGACTCGTGAATTGATAAACATTCACTTTGAATTCTGGAGAAACAAATCACACCTCCATATTTACCGAGATGCCATTCCTGAGGTCAAATAAAACAGCCTGATGTTAAATGCAAGGTACCATGACTTACCTTATCTACATAGTCATATGTATACAATGCGCAAGTCTTTGTCTTTGATGCATTTTGGCTTTAATTCACATATCACTGTGTATATAAGAGCAAGTGCATTATATAAATATATAAATGTATTTTATTATTTGAGAAAAGAATGCAAAAATACAAGTAGAGAAAGAACTTTATTATCATCATTCATCTCATACAACAAACATATCCAAATAGTTGTCAAAAAATTTTTTTTCTGAAGCGGTCAACCATTAATGAATGATTTGCGGGGTAAGTCCACATTAATAATATATAACAAGGAATTTGACAAAATACTGGGGAATCGGTTTATTGAACGTTTTCACATATTGGTAATGCGAAGGCGGCTAACTGTTCATGAGTTTTTTGAGATATCAAACTGCATATTGATGTATGACGCCTTCTATCCAATTATCTTCTAGCAGATCTGGTGAAACCAGCAATCAGAAAATCATAATTGAATCTATTGTTTATCATGTGCGGTATGTATGCGAATTGCATACATAATATTTTTATACAGTATTAAGCAGGAAATATAGTACGAAAACTTGCTTATTCAGTAAGATAACTTTGCAAAACTAGTGTTGCTTATATGATTCTATTGATTACTCAATTAAATGCCGCTCGTTATAATTGAACTTACAATAAAAAACAAACGCACGGTGCGGATCACGCCTGACGTCCTGGCGATTCCTCGTTACGCATTTATACTTTGATGCGTGTTGTCACTGATGGCATCTATAACACCGTGCAACAAAATTTTTCCGGAAATTCAAATAATGGTAAACGAAACTTTTCTACAGATACGAACTGCTTATTTGTTTACATATGGGAACAATAGAGTTCATTAAAGTAGCTAAAATCAGGATTGACATCGAGTTTTGTGAAAATGCTTTGAATTTTCCATTGTCATTATTATATGCGGACATTATTCATTGTGCTTGGATGTGAACTACATGCTTTTCTAGTAAATGGTCTCGAGCGGTTATTATAAATAGTCAAGGAGTGAATGTTTCCATAACTATTCAACAGCAGCGCTGCACAGAAACCTGTTTCTATGCATCATTGATCTGTATTGTGGGGGAAGGAAGACAGTACAAACAAAGCAAGAAAGAATTGCGCAGATATAAAGGTTTTAGCATTTATATTTGTGTACGGATAATTACAATACCTTGTGATATTTTATATATTTTCATTTAATTTTTTCAAGATTTATTTTTTTTTTTGCGAAGTAATAAATACGGTGAAAATTTCTAGAATTCCTAAATAACTTTTTCTTGATTACCAAAAAATCACCTGACTCGGAAAGATAACAATAACAGTTCATCAAAAATTCCTCCCACTTCTCTATCTTGCTCTCTTTCCATTTAGTTTTTTTTTAAAAAAATATGTTTGACGAACTATTCCGGCGGCACTCAATAATAGATCAAACTCGCAGATTCGATCAAAAGTCGTTGTATGAAGAAGAATGTCGTCGTCTTATCGGTGTTGTCGAACAACTTTCTGAGCAACGCAAAGAGGTCCTTGAAGTAATACGTACGGCTAACTCTTTTATAAACGATCTGATCCTCTCCTTACAATCACACAATCCTCGAAATGCCACCTCGGAGAATCCTAAAGGCACAGAAAATGGACGGAGTGAATTGCTAAACACTATTTCGAAACAAAGAAATAATGTACAAACGGTAATGAATGAGGAAACTATTGATGGTGAGAATAACGTCGACGAAGGAGAGTTTGTGGATGTAGATATTAACGCAGATGAAAGCGCGAACTCACTTGAGTATCCCCAAAATCGTTCGAACGATATCGAACAGTTCATCCAACAACATAACGACGAAGGGTTAAAAACCGAACTGGTGATTCTTCAAAGCCAAATAAACCGTCTCAGAGTTGAGCAAACTAAAGTCACCGATATATTAGAATATCATAAAAATAATTGTAAACCATCATTGAGCAAGAGTAATGGTGGTCAGTATCGTGCGCGATCATTCGCACTAGCAAAAGAAGATCGAATCAGGGTGAACGACGATGATAATGAAAGCGATGGTGGAGAGAATAGCGTATCATCACGAGAAAGATACGGAAGCGAACTGCGATGGAATTCATACATGGAGAATGAAACATATACGGACTTGTTGAAACGACAGAATAGAGAAATAATTAAGTTAAGACAAAAGTGCAAAGAGTACGAAGAATCACTAAAGATCACGAAATCTTCCAGGCGAAGTAATAGTTGCAGTACGGAAAGTTACAATAGTGGTAAGAATAATCGTAACGATGGAAGTCCAAGTTTTAAGAGTGATATTAAAAGCCTTCAGAATTTGTTGCAAAAATTTACGTCCGTTACTGCTGAGACAGAAATCAATCAAGAACAGGCGAACGCGCTTTTAGAGCTATACCAATTGAATACTGCAAAACCCGGTCTAAAAACTTTCAGAGAAAAATTAGGCCACGCATTAGAGGCACAGATCGTCAAACGTCTCGGTGAACAATTAGACGGCTATTTCTCCGTTGATAAATCACCCGATTCAATGGAAGATTATGACGAGGACAACTTGGAGTTAGATATTGTATCTACCACCGAGAAACTTGTAGCTTTAATGACGAGATTTGTGCAAAGGCGGGTGAATGATGACGGGTTGGCAAAGCAAGTTCCGAAAAGGGTTAGGAAGGTTGTTTATGAGACATTGAGTAAACACGCATTTTCATTGGATTCTCAAATTTTCGAAAACAACAAAAATCGCATAAATCATCCCTTCATTACATCGCTGGTACAAGAATTAGTAAATTTCACGGACCAATATAGAACTATCAAGCATTCTGAAGGAATATTAAAAGTGCAGAATGAGGCGGAGAAACTTATCAGAGAGTATGTTTCTGTAATGTGGTTCAAGCTAAAGGCTCTAGATCCTGTACCTCAAACGCATTATTACCCCAAAGGAACAGGTGTTAACACAGTGTACATGAAAGGTGACGTTCATGGAGAGGATGCAGGAAAGAATATAATGACTAATGGCGGAAGTAGTAGTTCTGGGAGCAAGGGATGGGATATACAAGACACCAAGAATCTGAGTGTTGAAATTTGTTATTTCCCTGCGATATTTGATGAACGAACAAATACGGTGTATAGTAAAGCCCAAGTGAGTGTTAACTAAGAAATTGTAACAGTTTTTTAGAATCATCACTTGTGTGATTCTTTGTATTGTATATATGTATAGTCTTCTGAATTCAAAATTTACTCAAAGTTTTCATTATACGTCTACCACTATTTCCGAAGTAAATATTGATATCTATCTATTAGTTATTCTACAAAGGATAAAAAAAAGTGTATACATTTGGTTGTATAAAATAGATCAAATATTTAAACTTTTTTTAAAAAAAATACGTTAAAAACATTTAGCGAAAAAAACAAAAGTATATATATTTTTTTTACATGGTCAAAAGTTGATAAATATAAATAATAAATTTAGCGCACGAGCAAATATTTTATATGCAAAATTTCAAATTAAAATTTTACTATGTGAATTCTTAACAACATCAAAATAGCATTTGCGTATATTTTTAAGAATTCTAAACGGTTAAATCACATGTACGTAATACTGTATCTTATTTCTTATACGTACCCGTGAATATCATTTTATAATTCGATATGTTGAAATAATTATAACAGTATATTATAAAATATACAGTAATCAATTAATTATTATACGTATATACAGTGGTACCCAAATTTTTTTGGAAAATATTTTTAAAAAATTAGAATTTCTATTATTTAAGAAATTTTAATCTAAATCATATAAAAAAATTAAATGTAAATCTTTTAGCACTAATAAACAATTTCAATTAAACAATTTTTATATTAATTAATCATATTATTTAAACATTGTATTTATTTTTTTTAATGACAGATTTAAAAAATATATTATTTTTATATTATTTATTAGATAAAAATATATTAAAAACACATACAAAAAACTTGGATTTTATGAAAATCAAGTTATAAAATTAATATATAATATCAAATTTTTTTAATTAAAAATAATTAATTAAAAAAAAATAATAATATAATCTATACATTGGTTATAAATAAAAATAATTTTGTAATATTCATACATTTATATTTAGTTAAGAAAAATCCCAAGATATTGTATTAAAATAACAAAATTATAAAATTACAATAAACAATTTTTTTAAATAACTATATATTTATATTGATTAATATAATAATAATAATATATAGATTAATTCAAAAAAAAAAAAAAGAATAAATTATATTTTTAATTTTACTTGTTATTTAATTACTTATAAATAAAATATTAAATAAACAAATAAATATATATATTTGAAAGCATAAAAAATAAATTTATTTAATAAACTATTTTTTAAATATATTATAAATTTGCAATTTTTTTAAAAAAAAAATTCATAAAAAAATTATTAATAAAAAATTGTCAAAATATTTTCAATATGTAAATTTTTAAATTTTATATTAAAATCAAATTTTTCAAAATTGATTTTACAAAATGCAAAATAAAATAATATCAATCTTATTATTTAAATATAATAAAAAACATTTAATAATTTTTGTAAATTCATGTATAAATTGTTATTATTTAAAAAAAAAATTTTTTTTAACTTTTAACTAATATTTTGAAATAGATTACTAATTAAATATTGATAAAACTTTGATATATTAATTTTTTTATTATAAACAATATATATCTTAAGTTTAATTAATTTAATTTTTAGTTATCAAATTATAAAAAAATTTTAAATTTAATTTTTTTTTTGAACTAAACTATATTTATTTTAAAATTTTATTATTAAAAATTTTTATTTAATATAAAATATTATTTAAAAAACATTTAAGAATCAACAATATTTTTTTAAATTAATTTTTTATTAAATTAAATAAAATTAATATAGCAAAACATTGTATATATAAATTTATTCAATCTTATTTATTTACAACACCAGATTTTTAATATGATTTATAGAAATAATGTATTGCTTATTTTACTAAATAAAATTAAGATCTATTTATTTAATAACGTTATACTTGTAGAATATCTTTACAGATTATACTCTATAAACTCAAATAAAATTCTAATTATTTTTTATTATATTTATAAACTTAAAATATTGTATTATTTATTTTATTACTTTGTTGATATATGTTTCCAGAATTTAAAATATATATATATTTATATTTATAACTTGATTTCCTTAAATTTTCTAAATTTCTATCTATTTTTTTAATATTAAGCTAAAGTATTTTAAGTCAAAATCTGAACTGTAATCTACTAATGGAATTGAAAAACTTGATTTATATCTTCATAGCTAAAGTAACTTAAGCCTTTTTTATTTAACGAAAAAATTTTTTAGATTATATTTTTACCTATATAAGAATTATAATATACTATCGATTTTTTCATTTTCTATTTCATTTTTTTTATCCAGCTTAATTTTAAATAGCTATTTATACTGTAATTCCTATTAATAGAAAGAGAAGTAAAAATTCAAAAAAAATAGTCACTTGTTTTTTTAATAATTTGAAAATGGTTTTGAAATATCTAAAGTTATAATTCTTTGTAAAACATTTGGTAACAAAAGATAAATATCCATTTTCAAGAACTTGAAATAACATTTTTGCTTTTTTCTTATCCTTATGTAATGTCAAAATATTTATTTTGTAAATATCAACTTCAGAAAATAGAGCTACTATCATTTAACTATTGTATTGGTTTAAATTTTTATTTCCAGTATAAGTTTGATAAATACTACTGTATAGGAAAGTTAATATTTAACACATTGCAAATACATATGAGAATGTTGTTTCTTTTTGAATATATACCATATAATATATAAATAAGTAATAGAAAGATGTTTGCCTACTTAAATAAATAATGTTAGTTAACTAAAGAAATCCTGGTATATTGCAGATTTTTTATTAACTTAGTTATGCTATACATTATACATTATTATATACTATACTAAATGTCTGCTATACTTTCACATAATTATGTCTAAATTAAAAGGATTTTATTAAATTCTATCAAATTATGTACAGTATTTATACAACTCATGTTAAAAAATATTTTTTTGATTGTTCCGCTCATTTTTAAAGACAATTCTGATTTTTGGTGCTATTTGAATGAGTTCCGATGATACATTTGCATGTAAAAATGTTAATACATTCCTTGCATTCTTATTTCCAATTTATAATACATAAAAAATTGGATTCAAATAATAGTGACGCGAACTTACTGTAGAGAGATTTCTTATAACTTAATATTTACTGTAGTTGTACATGGACACTGTCTATGCATAATAAAAACTTGCTTTTCCTTTATTCTCTTTTTTTTAAAAAAATTTTCTACTTTATAGATTTTTCGTAAAAAGTCCCCCTTTTTGTTTTCTTAAAGCATTGTGGGTCGGTATAGGGTATAACTTCAAACGATGCAT